ATGCCTTGGACCTGCTCGGACATAATGTTGAGGATACTAAGTTGTTGCTCGAGGTTTTGTAGATTTCGTTCATACGGAAAGAGAAGCTAATGTTAAAATAAGGACAAATTTTGTAAACAGTCCCTTTTGAACTTTTAATCCCAAAAAAACCCTAATTTGCACTTAATTACAAAAACCAACCTGGTTTCAGCCTCAGTGCTAAAACCAGGTCGGTTTTTGAAAAAAAAATTTCTGAAAGGATTAAGTATGTTGAGAAAATTTATTATTAGTACCGAAAATAGGAATATATATTACAAATACATTTTTACCTGTCTCGTGCCAATATGATGCGAACAATGACTCTCCTGGAGGTACAAAATGTCACAATGTACAGGATTCGGGTCCATAATAGATATAGCTGAGATTAAAATATTACAAATTCATAATATGTCGCAAGGATTAATTAGAAATCATACATTAAAAGTAGATCCCAAACATAGTACAAAACACTACAAATTACAAATACGAATGTCATACGGGAACATTAACATTAACATTACAAAATCAATGCATACTCCTAGCTGGACAACTATTTTTGTTGTGACCCAGCTGATTACATCTACTATACTTATTTTTCCTCCTAATTTCTTCACGACCTTCATCCATACTATTTCTAATTCGTACGGAATGAGGGCGTCCCGCTAATCTTTTCACCAAAGGAGGTAATATTCGTGGCCCGTCTTGTGCCCAATGACGACTATCATATGGTGGAGAAAACACTCTTTGTACTTTTGTTGATAGTTGTAAGTTGAATAACAATTTCCGGAGAATTCGTAATGTGAAACCCTTGCACCACCCTGTAGATTAGAGCAAGCCGTGACAACATGTGAACAAGAAAGCCATTATAGTTATGGTACATTGCAAGTGCACGTACATGTGCGATCCACTAGTATATTGACTTTGTAAGAGCGACTTTCTCTATGTGATATACTCTCAATGACCTCCCATTCATTAAAACTGTATCTTACGATATGAAATGACCGAGCTTGCATAATTCGAGCCGCTAACAGTTCTTCAACCTTCGGCGTGAACTCTGAATGGATATTTTCACCAAGTATGCAATGTCGGAAAAAGAAGTTATTAAGTCTATAAAATGTTTTAGCAACTAGTGACTATATTGGCATACTGCGTGCTCTCCTAAGCACACTATTGAAACTCTCAGAAGTGTTTGTAGTCATCATACAGAATTGTTTCCCGTCATCTTCACATAAAGCCCACTTATCAACATTGTTTTGTCCCAAACTAGTTTCAATCCATTCATCTGCAGCTCGCGAAATGAACTTAATCCTCTCTCGTATTTAATCATAGACTAATTTTTCTGTTGCACAACCGGCTTTCCAAAGAAGATCTTGAACCTGCCCGTTTTCATGCTTCTTCTTGAAGTTATCCCTAATATATCGCATGCAATAACGATATGCATGTGGTGACGGAAAGTGTTGTTGGAGTGCTCTTGGAATTCCTTTCATCCTGTCTGATATGAATGTAATCGTCCGCGCCCCCACACCAGGAATATGATATCTAATGCATGCAAAAAACCAAGCCCAATTCACTGTGTTTTCAACATCAACTACTGCAAACGCCAAAGGAAATAATCTGTCATCTGCGTTAACTCTGGTTGTAACAAGAAAAATGCCTTTGTACTTACCGTACAAATGGGTGCCATTGATACTAAGAATAGGACGATAATATCTGAAACCCTCAATACAAGGCCCAAATGCCCAAAATACACTTGTGAACCGATGTTCTCTGCCATCAACAGGTTCTGATGATAATTCATAAATAGTCTCCGGATTTTCTCTTTTGAGTGCTTCGAGATAATGTGGTAAAATCTCATAAGATTTGTCGCAATCCCCGAATATTTTATCATCGCCTTCCTCCTAGCATTCCAACACTTGATGTATGATACATCCAAGCTGCACACAGTATGCACTAGAATACATATATCTTTTGGCCTTAGATCAAGATCCTCCCTTAGATGTGGTAAAATCAATTGATATATAAAAGAAGAGGACACATGCTTGTTATTCATCTCTAATCGAGGATTGCTACATGTGTGGAGTCCGTTGTAAACCGTAATTTTAAATTGCCCGCCAACTCTTACACCCGAGCATGAATTTAGCTTCCAAGAACATTTCGCATTCCCGTCGTGGTGTCCACCGTTATCTTTGTCTTCATCATCTTCGCGATAAAAACAAACCACATTATAGCTTGTTGTGTTATTTTTTATTGGCCTAAACTTGACATTTTTTGCAATGGCATACAAGCGAAGCGTATGGATCAATTTCTCCTTACTTTCAAATAGATCCCCTTTCATGAATGAGAAGTTCTCGCCTTGTGTGTCATCAACGATATTAGTTCCGATAGGAATTCTTTCCATCATGGAGTTATCAATCCATTCTTTTCCTTGAAGTTCATCGGGCAGCGGATCCTCTAACACGACGTACTCATTATTAGTATAACATCTGTCAATATGTTGGTTGTCCCCTTTATCGTGATCTATCAATATCATGCTATTAATTCGTAAGCCGTCCTCTTCATCACCATCCTCGGATTCGACACTTGCATTATAATCTTGATGGGACGTGTTAGTATCGAAAGCATTTGACATGCCCACAAACAAAGAACCGCTCATGTATTGTGATTGTGTCCAGCCTTCATCCTGTTGCAGAGATAAAAAACTGACAGAGTCAACTTTAAGGTCCTCTAACATGTGGGAATACATTCCGTCGTGATTCACCGATTTGCCCAAATTCCTCTGATGTTTTTCAATAAACAATTCCACCGAACGCTTCTCGTCGTATAAGACTGCAATGAGACCCATATCATAGTCACTTGATATTTGAATGCCGCTTGTTCTATTCCCCCCAACAGGATAATTACAAATAACATTGAGTTGATACTCACGTGAGTTGGTTAATACAGGTTTGTGTAATTCATTAACTAATTCATCAAAAGTACACGACTTTGATATAAACAAGGGCTTCGTCACACATCCTTCATAAACGGGCATATTATCTTGGAGATAGTTAATCTTCCCATCATATGAACAAAGAACTAGGACTCGATCGTTCATTGTTACCTCTGAGGAGTAAAAAATTCAATATTAATATTTGAAACTCATAATTTTACATAGTGAATCTCTTAGACCGATACTAGAATTTTTAATCAAAATGTTAACCAAGATATTGAGAAATTTTAACCTAATTTTAATATTAGAAATTTTAACCAAATGTCAAGCCTTAATATTAACTTCACGGTTACAAATTTTGATATTTTCCCCTCTAACCTCATATACAATATTGTTTAATTTTTCTTCGCAAAATGCCCAAAATACTTCCAAATTTATTTTAAAAGCTAATTTCTTACAAGTAATCACCAAGACATTGAGAGAATATATATAAAATTAAAATAGATTTTTTTTAAATTTACCTTAATTTTTTGACGATGCCCTAATTCCAGTGATCAACGGCGGCGACGGCGACGACGACGGTGATGGTCGGTGGTGGGGGCGGCGCCGGTGTAGGGAGGTGAGGGGGTCGGGTGAGGATGGACGGAGCTAGGGTTTTTGGGAGAGAGAGAGGGTCGGGTGAGGTTAGGGTTTTGGGAGAGAGGGAATGTCGGGTTTCAGGGGAAATGGGGAAGGGAGCTGCGTTGCGGTTTTATAGTGCGCAACTCCACGGGACTTGAAGTCAAGTCCCGTGGAGTTACAGGGTAGATTTTCTAGAGAGTCGATTCTCTGAAAAAATCAACCTCAAACTTCACGAGACTTCAAGTCCCGTGAAGTTTTTACAAATTTTGTTTGCACATTCAAAAATATTTACGGGACTTGAAGTCCCGTGAAATGTCGTAAGTTTTTTTTCAAAAACCAACCTGGTTTCAGCGCTGAGGCTGAAACCAGGTCGGTTTTTATAATTAAGTGCAAATCAGGGCTTTCTTTTTTTGGGATTAAAAGTCCAAAAAATGATTGTTTACAAAATTTGTCCGTTAAGGGCCTGTTTGGTTATTTCCTAAGAAACCAAAAAATAGAAATGAAAACCAAGAAATCTCAAAAAGTACAATTTCACATATTTCCATCCCTAAAACTCACCCACAACATCTAATAAAATATTATTTTTATCCAACAACTCATCCACCACATCTAATAAAATATTATTTTCATCCAACAACTCATCCATCACATCCACCACATCTAATAAAATATTATTTTCATCCACAACATCACTCAACTCATCTCATCTCATATTTAAAAATCACTCACATCATCCAATAAGATTGTGACAACTCATCTCATCTCATTAACATTTCATTTCTTTGTTTTCCTCCCAAAAAGCTAGGAAAACAATTTCTTTAAGTGTGGGTCATATCATCCAATAATATAATGACAACTCATCTCATCTCATCTATTTTCTTATTTTTAAGAAATAACCAAACAAAAGAAAACAACCTAATACAAGAAATAGGTTTCTTATAATTCATTTTCTTATTTTTTCCGCCAACCAAACAACATCAAAACAAGTTTTCTTAAAAAATCACTCACATCATCCTATAATAAAGTGACAACTCATCTCATCTCATCTCCATTTTTTTGATTTCCTTCTTTTTTTAGCCAACCAAACAATCCCAAAAGCTATTATTCTTAGAAATAAGTTTTCTTTTCTTTGATTTCCCTCTTTTTTTAGGGCCTGTTTGGATTTGTATGGGTGAATGAAAGTTAAGGGAAACTGAGTGAAGAGAAGGGAAGGGAAGGGAAGGGAGTTCACTTCACCTTGATTACACCCCAATTTGGGGTAACAATTTTTACACTATTAGGGGATGAACCAAGGGGAACTAGAGTGAATTAACTTCACCTCCTAAGTATTCCCAAACAAGATGAATGGAGGTGAATAGTTCCCTAACTTTCCTTCACCCTCATCCCCTCAATCCAAACAAGCCCTTTAGGCAAACAAACAGCCCCTAAAATAAATAACGGCGGTGCCCCCGTGAGTAATTCCGCTCCTGCGGTTCACCATATCTTGCCGTGCTCCCAACTTCGACTCCCCATCACTTTCTTCGAAGCCTCGTTACAGCAGCCGTCGACGACCGTCGTCCCTCATTCATTAGAGACGACAAATTCGTCAATCAAACACAATTCAAAAAATATAAATAAATAAATAAATAAATAAGCCCTAAGGCTAACATAGATTTCTGCCCCAATCTTCGTCCGCTCCTCCATCATGGCGTCCACCAATCTGGAGACCGAAGCCGCCCCCGAATCCAAACCCCAAGAGAACGGAAACCCTAACCCGAGCCCTGGCCTCAACGATGTAGTCGTCGACGTGTACTCAGCTTCGGCCTATGGCGACCTCGAAAAGCTCCGGTGGTTCGTTGAGAAGGAAGGGCACCCCGTCTCTAAGCCCGATGCTAATGGCTACTACCCTTTTGCAGTGGGCGGCGCTCAATAATTATACTGATATCGCTTATTACGTAATTGAAGTAAGTTTGGTTTCCTAATTCTTGAGCTTTTGGTCCCAATATGTTGGGAGTCTGACTGAGAGTTTTTTACCCCCCATTTTTGGTTTGTGCAGCATGGGGGAAATGTAAATGCAGTTGATGGCTCTCAGCAGACTGCTCTTCACTGGGCCGCAGTTCGAGGGGCGACTGCAGCTGCAGATGTTTTGCTGCAGAACGGAGCCCGGTTGGAGGCTGCTGATTTGAATGGTTATCGGGTAATTTTCTGATCAAAATTGTAATTTAATATATTAAACATGGACATTTTTTATGGTAGGTTAGTGAATTATTGTACTTTTTTTCACTTAAAAAGGAATGGGGGAATGATGGTAAGAAACAACACTATATTATGGTGAGTTATTGCTTGATTATCATGAATGATGATACTGAATATTGGATGAGCTTGCTTAAAATTTCTAAATTGACGTGCATACAAAGTATTGGATTGTCTCAGCGCAGTTTGTAGAATATAATGTACAAGGACAACAATTTGTTAGATTTTTGTTTGCAAGTGGTATATGTGAAAAGCAAAAAGAAGTAGTTAAGTTACCATTAGGAACTCTAAGATTATACCCTTTTTCTGGTGTTAAAAATTTACGCCTTCCCGGCATAACATGAAATGGTTATAATGATATTTTATATCTCTGCTGTCTGGGTGTGGTTTTCTTTAGGGAATTAAGAGAAGTTTTCTGTTAAGGAGAGAAAAAGAAGATTTCAAGCAGGTCACCTATAACCAAGATTTTGGATATAAGCAGGTAGCAACATAATTGTACCAAGTATTTGGCATGTTTGGCTTGTTTAGGAAGAATTAAAGTCTTTATACCCTGTTATTCCTCTATGGAGCCTTAATTTGTTAGTTAATGATTTGCAAGTGATGTTGTCGGTTACAATCATGTTTGTTAATCTGTTTAAATCAAGGTTGACTTTAGACTTGCAAACACACTTTCATAAGATAAATGAACACATAAAACTTTACGGAAAATTTCAGTGATGGTACGTGAGCTTCTTGAAGTTTGCATATTTTTAACAATTGGTACGTGATCACTTTGGGTACCCAAGACTCATATTTTGTTACGACGGTTAGTTTCTGTTAGAGTAAGGTCATGTGACATGTAATTTATTTAAGGAAAACCTTGCCGTAGTCTTATGCTGGGGTAACTGATTTTTTTACTTATGCTGGGGTAACTGATTTTTTTAGACATTTAGAACCCATCATTGCAACCAATTATGAAAAAGTTATGTCTCATAATTAGTCATGAATTAGGACTTAGTTAACTTCCCTCAAAAGTTGGAGAAGAATTATCTTGTGTCTTCTTCTAACCTTGTTTTAGTCTCTAAACCTTTAACCATTTAATCCACCTTCTATCTTTATCATATGTCTCTCCCTATCTTTCTTTTCTGTAACCTACTTTCTTCTTTGATTTCTTTTTTTTATTTAATTTACGTTGCTTTCTAACCTGCTTGCTCACAACACTTTAGGGAGACAGAGTTCATAGAGATAACAAAATTAGTAATAAAAACAAGATTGGGGATTAAAGTGTGTTAGACAGACTTAGACAAAAGTAGGGAAATAGAGAGAGAAACAATTTAGAGATAATATAAGTTAGAGAGAAGAAGAAGTTAGGGAGGTGTGTGAGAGAAGTTAAAGACAAAAGATTAGAATGGGAATAATGTTTAGAAAGATACTTTACACGGTAAAAGAAGAGTACGGTTTAGAGATTTCTCTCTAATCCTAACCATCTTTTACATCCATATCTAACATTTTATGTCACTGACTCTTCTTACCAACCAGTCCTCTCTGAGATCTCTCTGAAGAGTTAGAAGTGTTAAAGAAAAGAGAGAGTATACAGCTATAAGTAAATTATGGATATAAATATAAAGAATAATTATCATGAGCAATGATAAATTATTCCAATTTACATGCTCATTAACCTATTAGCAGGATTCCATTTGGAGGTACCATAAGCAATAAGGAAAAATATTAATTCCCAATTGTGAAAACATGCAAATCTTGGGTATCATTATGGTAATTTGTTTAAAATTAATATTAACGACAATTCAAACCCAGAATCTACTTTTACTATTCACCAATTAAAGTATAATGCAAAGAACTTGTAAGCAAAATTTTTTGTTGCTTGTACCAGAACCCAATATAGTTAGAAGGACCTTCTTTATTTGAAAAGAACTTTTTTTCACGGTTCTCACCCCCACCCCTTCACCCTGTATCAGCAGCTGTTAAACTGAAAGGACTCTCGTTTGCATCCTTAAAAGCACTAACCTTTGCTTCCTTGTTAACGTTTGCTAAAATTAGCGCATAGTTTGCTTACAAGTTGCCATGCCTTCACTCAGTCTAAGCCATTTTCCCTTCAGTGTGTAAGATATAATTAGTTAAATGAGATGATTAAAATGTTTTAATAGTTACCCGAGATTTATAATTCATGCCGTTCAAATTGTTTTTGCCGAGGATACATCACTAATCTATTATCTTTTTTAACATTGAATAAAACCATTCACCTCCAACCCAAAAGTTTCAAGTACTAAGGTTCAATGGCATGTTTAGTTTACTGAACCCAAAATCTCCAACTTTCTCATATGACTCTGGCTATGCTTTCATCTCCTCATAAGATAAGGTCACCTCACTAAAGAAATTAGTAAGAAAATATTTATCTTTTCCTCAGGTTATTTTATTGTCACGTTCTTTTCTTGTCCTTGTCTTTTTTGTGCCTCTTCTTTCTCCTGGAAGTGTTGGGATGGATCCATACCCTACCCTAATGTGTATAGAAGCGTACATGACTACCAACTTAACCTATCATTATGTAATAAGCACCTCTACTATTGAAACATAACATCTGCTATATAATATAATTTCGAACAAGCTTATTTTCCATGAACTATCATTTACGAAAATTAAATGACCAAATCTTAATTATCGATATGGTCAAAATAGATCTTATTAAAATACAAATTTGTTCCATACTCATGCTTTCATTGAACATATCACTACACAAAGCTCAATTTCAGCAAGCTTTTTTTTTTAATTCAAGTGCTTCCTATGTTTTCCTTTGCCACATCTTGATCATGGCTTAACCTCTCTTGTCTGGATTCAAAGTCTACAATATCTATCAGGAACCTGGGGAGATGATCAAGTTATATATTATCATTTTATGTGCTTATGGGGAAGTGGGGTTGCTTGTTTAAATTAGCAGCGGCCGCTTAATTTCTATTTTACAAAGACCAACATGTATCTAGCAATTATTAAGGGGGAACTGAGGAAGTAGTTGGAACTTCTCCACTCTAGGGCTATTAACTGGGTTTCTTTTGTACTAACTTGACTTGCCTAATATTTATGTGAATAAACCATAGTATTGACGTTTAACATTTTTGCTTATATTTTTTAATAAGCATGCTGGAAGTTCCATTGCTTGTTAATGTGTGCAATGTATGTACTATTCATGAACTATGTTCAATGGACTATTTGAATTTTTTGTGTTGATTCATGGTTACTCTTTCATAGGCGGTCCATATTGCAGCACAATATGGACAAACAGGATTCTTGTATCATATCATGGCGAAGCATGGTGCAGATTTTGATGCATCTGATACTGATGGAAGGAGTCCATTACATTGGTATGAGTCCCTTGTTCATTGATATTAAAAAGTGGATGTTTCTTTTTAAATAACTAGTCTATAATCTTTTCAGTATTTTGACTAAGGAATGATCAGAAAAGGTGTGCATGAACTTCATGTGGCTGATAGGTTGTGCTTGTCTTCTTTTCTTAGGTTGTATGACTGCAATAGGCAACCTGCTTTTTTTCGTTTTTGTTTTAATTGCTTATCTTTTATAGGAAATGTAAGCTAAAACACCATCCATGTAATATTAGTATATCAACAATAAATCAAAGCATACTGCATTGAAAAGGTCAATAAGCACTGTGGAACCACTTCATTCTTTTTTTTATTCTAATTTATTAAGTTTAAAATCTAACCATCAAGGTAAACAAAAAAGGCCTGTTGTTTAGCTTCAAGTAGCTACTGTTAACCATCTATATCCATTTGCACTTAATTTATTTGCCTTCTAAAGTTGGGGCCTGTCAGAGAGTTGTCATCTATTTTATTACTTTCACACTGTAATGAAATATTTCCTCTGTTTTTCATTGGTCAATGTGTGAGATCTACTGTATAGTTGCACTACAATGTATTAACAACTGCCACCTCACTAGCCTTGTTTGAACCCAAGTCCATGTGTTGGATCTGCTTTTCAACTCCTTTTTTGTATAGAAAAGTAGGAACATTAAAACAGCCTTAACTCCATGTCAGGGAAATGGAGGCACTATCTCAAAGTTCAATCCGTTTATGCCCATCCATCAGGACAACTAGGCTGCTACAAGGACCAGCATAATAATTAGTGATTTGGCAGTAGATAAGTAAGAAGGGTTTCACATGGAAGGAAACGTGCCTAATCGTGATTGCACTTTCCTGGATATGCTGCAGTATAACTATTGGTAATCGTGCTGGTCCTGTCAAAATCATGGTAAATACAAGGACCACTGTGCAATTTTGGCCAATATCAAAGTTGTCAACTCTGTAGGTGCTGATTGTCATGATTGCTGATTCTCATCAATTGTATTTGTCTTTACCATGGAGTAAAGGCACAAAGTCTAGGAACTCTAGCTTTGAGCCAACGTCCATCCACATATTGCTGCTGTTGGGGAAATTTGTCTTTGTTGTCACTGCAAAGGGGTCAACAGAGGAATTTTTTTGCGTCCCTCTCTGTTGCGCTTAATAATGGGAAATTATGTTCTTGGCTCGCTATATTTCCTGGCACTTTAGCCTCTTGCTTAATGGCAACTACAACTAAAAAGGAAGATGTTCCCACTTCTTCACAGAATGTGACAAGGAGTTGGATTTGGAGCTTTACTGTGTGGTATATACATATCCAATGCTGTACTAATATGCTATAAAAGACTGATGATCTCTTGGCTGTAGGCCTTTCTCGGGTATCAATCAATTATGCCTCCAAACTAACTAAATCATGGAAGCTGAATCGAAAATGAAATTGTAGAGTAAGGGAAGGGGCGCAATTTTGTTTAGGAGACAGAGTGGAGGGGATAACATAGCCATTGCTTTTTCATAGTTTATGTTTTCGGTTGTTATGTTTAGAGTATTGTCATTGTGCCTCTTGAGCGCTGGGCCTTCAATCAAAAAAAGGGTTTTGACATGTGATTAGTAGGCCATTGAGGACTAGCCTTGTCCATAAAATAAGGTGAAACTGCATGGAGTGTTGTTTGTTTATATTCATATCCTGGTTTTATTGTTTCTTCTTGAAATGCAATGCGCTCTCAGGTCTCTTTAACAGTAGAAGCCTCAACTGTGACAGTAATAGAACTTATTGCGTAATGTGTACATTTGTCTTAAACATGCATTTTCACTGTACAGGTCTGCATACAAGGGATTTGTGGATACAGTTAGGTTGCTCTTATTTAAGGATGCTTACCAGGGGAGGCAAGATAAGGATGGTACTCTGAAGGCTTTTTCTCAACCTGGTGTTATCATTTAACTCTTTTTTCTTTTCATAAATTGATCTACATATCAAATGTTTGAGCGAGCACAAAATTTAAAAAGTTTAATATCTAATGTTTCCTATATGTAGGCTTAATAGTCAACTATATTCTCTTAGGCAGATTTTTGTAAGACGATCAAGTGATGAATTTTGCCTCACAACCTTACCTAGTAAGTTATTCTTAGGACAAATTTTCAAATTCGACCCATTTAGAAACTTAATTGCCAAAAACGACCCATTTCCAATTTAATTGCCAAAATCGACCAGTTTCGGCCAACTAGCTGAAACTGGATCGATTTTAGCAAAATAATTTACGAAACTTCACATGACTTCAAGTCCTATGAAGTTTAAGCACGTTGTTATTTACGAAAGTAAGGTGATTAAGAGGAGGAAAACATCACGGAACTTGAAGTCCCGTGATATTTTGTAATGTATAAAACTTCACGGGACTTCAAGTCCTGTGAAGTTTCAGTTGAAATGAGAAATCACGTGCGGCGTTGGGGGGCCTTATATAGCCATACCCGCAAACTCCACGGGACTTCAAGTCCCGTGAAGTTACAGTCTCAATTTCCAGAGAGCGGACTTCAAGTCCCGTGAAGTTACAGTAGTCCCGTGAAGTTTACGGGTACAAAACTTCACGGGACTTTAAGTCCCGTGAAGTTTTGGGCGCCCCTAATCAAGCCCATTATCGGAGCTTAAACTTCACGGGACTTGAAGTCCCATGAAGTTTCGTAAAGTTTTTCCCCAAAATCGACCTATTTTCAGTCAGTTAGCTGAAACTAGGTCGATTTTGGCAATTAAATTGGAAATTGATCGTTTTTGGCAATTAAGTTTCTAAATGGGTCGAATTTGAAAATTTGTCCTTATTCTTAGTAAGTTATTCTCTTTGGCTTGAGATGATTGGAATTTAGGGTGTTGCACTACATACTGCTATTTCGCTAATCATAACAGGATTGTTCATATATCGTTTTGGAGCAATGACATAGCCTTGATGCTTTAAAAAGGTTTTGAGCATAATATGCAGTCTTAAAATAACATCTCCTAACAGGAGATTGTTGTATCCAAATAATGTTCACATGCCAGGACGTAGCCAAGGTATATCTGAGGGAGGGCATGTGGCCTACCTCAAGTTTGAAGAATCCATTGCATAATCTAATTCCTATACAAGTCTGTTCTTTTGTATAGATGTGTGGCCAATCTCAGCTTTATGTTTGCTCTTCTATAACAAACATTAACTGTTATCTTTTCTAACTTTCAATTAAATGTAGAAATCTTGATAACTTTATGAAGTTGTAAAATAGTGCCCCTCAATATTTTTCTAGATCCATATTAGTTTTTTTTTTTTTGTTAAAGAAGACAAACAAGAGAGAAAATAATAGGCATGATAGAAGTTTCTCATTTCAAATAATAGGCATGATCAGGAATAAAATGATAGTCTAGTACTTATATTTGAAATTCTAATAGTTTATACGTTTACTTTTTATTAAAAAAATTTCATATGATTTATGATTTCAAGTGAACCTGATATTGTGCTCAACCTGAACAAAGTTGCTGGTTCTGCCCCTGTTCACATGAAAAACCATGGTTTCTTATGTCCCAGAATTGCATTCAAATTTGTGTTTGATTGTAAAACAATTTTGTAATGTTAAGAATGTTCTTGGTTTGCATATAAACTGCCTTCAAAAATCTCTTAATGATGTCAGAAAAGTGGTTTTTACTGAGTCAGTAGCTGTAAATATCTAATCTAGTGGAGCCATGTTAATCCTCTTTCTCAATGTTTCCCCCCTTCCTTTTATCCAAGATTGCAATAGTCTGTGCAATGCACAATTGTGAAAATTGGACCTGCTAAAACATATGTTTAATTAGGTGAACTTTAGGACGCTAATCCTTAATGTGGATAAGAACATAAAATTTGCTGGCAATAAAGGTTATATTTTAGAGCTCATAACATTAACCATATTTTACGTGCTATGTTGATAGGCTGCACACCCCTGCACTGGGCTGCTCTAAGGGGCAATGCGGAGGCTTGCACCATGCTTTTGCATGCAGGTACTAAGAAAGAGCTTCTGGTGAAAAATAGATCTGGATTTACTCCTGCTCAGCTGGCCTCTGATAACGGTCATCAGCGTGTTGCCTATATGCTTGTATGTACTGGTGTTTTGAGTAAGCTTCTGGGTTTTATAATATACTTCGCACCTTTTCTCATGTCCATTTATTTCAAGGTCATATACAGATATATGCAGACTTGCATGTGTTCATAAATACACAGAGAGCTTGAATCTTGGAAAATCCTTTCTGTCCAAATTCAGCAGCAAGCACTTCATATGGAAGTTTCATTCTATCCAAATTGATTGTATTTATATAGAGTGTCCAAAAAAAGGGGGGGGAAAGGAAAAAAAAAGAGTCTTCTTGCCTATTCATCTAATAGGTATGAAATGTACCATAAAAAATTAACATTTTTCGTACATCTGTTCTTTGGTGTTGCTTATCCAAACTCTTGATTTTAATCCAATTTTTTTAAAGCTTGTGCATATCACTTTTTTCTCTGAATTTGAGATTACTTCCTGTCTACCTACATGCTAGTTTTGAAAGTGTTATCTGAACACTTTATAGCAAAAAATGTTTTACTCTACCTGAGAAACGATCAGGGCACTTCACCAGGGCACAAGTGTAATGTAAAAATAGGGGAGAAATTGGTGTTGCTTAAAGGACTTGATTAGAAATTAATTATAAAGAAACCATAAGAGAAGAATATAAACAACAATTGGTCATAAGTGTTATGATTTATTTATTTAGTTATTTATTTATTTTTGTTGTTGCTTCCATAGCCATTCAAAACCCTGTCATGCTCTTTCAACTATGTCATTGTCATGAAAGATACACAAGTAGTGTCAAAAATTAGCCTATTTCACCTCTAATATTATACCAAAAGATGTTTTCCCTGTTCTAATCTTTAACATTTCCTGTGTTGACGCGGACGCTCAATGCACTTGATATACATGTTCAGGGCTCACTTTGTGCCTACTTGATGCATAGAGAAGAAAGATGAAACCCTTTTGTAGGCATCATAAACAGTGTAAATCAACTTGAACAGAATTGGTTTTAAATTTGGATTGTGATTACATTTGAATGAGAATGATTTGGCTCCAAATCCTTTCGGAAGTAACCAAGTTCCAACTCTACATGTATACACAGCCTAGGTGCACAAACAACACCACATACACGAACGTGTTTCCTTCAGCTGGAGACATATTTTATTACTGATTCTTTTACTATTTTAGATCAATATGTCTTTCCTAAGGTCAACTTTCTGTGCTTTTTAGTCCAATGCTACAAGGGTTCGTGGCAATATCTTTGAAGAAAACATATGCTCCAGAAAGATGGGAAAGATTGGATACGCTCCCATCTTGCTGTTCATTATAATGATTCTTATTGTTCTTTTTATTAACTCTGTTCTTGCTGGTAGGTAATGTTATCTTTATGGAATATCTTTAACAAGTAAATATTTTACATAATTGAATTACTAACTGTTCCCTCCTCTGTCTAGCGCCCAATTTTCCGAAAGTTACTGCCATGGTTGGACTGTGGTCGTTGAGTGGAGTTTCTCTTGCATTTGGTTCTCTGTATATGTTATATAGGTGTAGCAGGTGACTATTTTATTTCTTTCCACAATTAATTACTGAAGTACCAGGTTGATTAGGTTCTTTAATTATATGTTATTATAATTGTGGTATCCTGTACATCCCTTTTCTTCTTCTTTTCAGAGAAATTTTTTTGCTGCCGTTATGGTTTGAATTCTAAAGTGAACAGGAAGGATAATTATGTTAATTTGTTTTTTCCTGTAATTTTAAGCGTCAAAATTTGTATGTTTTTGAGTTTAATGGACAAGCTTAAAAGTTAACAATTGTAACATAAGCCTCTTGTGTAGAGCCTGATATTGCATTCACTTCGATTCTAATAAACCACATGTTGTAACCTCTAGACAATATAGTTATGTACTATCACTTTGGGAAGTGGTTCACAATATTTTAAAAGGTGTTACATATTATGCTTTCTTTTCTCTCTTATATAAGGTTTTTCCCCCTAGAAACCACCTTTAAAATAGGGACATACTACAGAAATCACATTTAATTGTCAATTAATACATAAACCACATTTAAGGGGTTTTTTGTTGCAATTGATCACATTAACCCACTTTTCAGTTCAGTTTTCTTGGTAATTTATCAAGCTAACTTCTACTAAAGATCTTCTCTCTAATATGCTCAAGTATTCATCAGCTAATCATTACAGCAAAATTGAGAAAACACTTAACTCAAAAGTGAGTCAAGGTGGTTGACTGTAACAAAAAATCCTTTAAAGGTGGTTTATGTATTAATTGAGAATCAAAAAGTGGTTTCTGTATAATGACCTTATCTTAAAGGTGCTTTCTAGGGGGAAAATCCCCCTATCTAAATATCAGATGAAAGACGTTCTTGTTTCCATGATTCCAGTTGTCTAGTAATAAATTTCATATGCTCTTTTTTGTGATGTTTTATGCCTTATGATTCATTCTCACACAGTGTATTTCCTTGTCGGTTAATAAGGCGTACATGATATTTGCTTTTAGATCGTTTGGCTTTGTAAAGTGACTTGCAACAATTTTATTGCGTTACTGCAGCAAGGATCCTGGTTATATTAAGCCAAATTCTGGAGGTTCAGCGACACGTGCTGGTGGCAGTGTATGCTCTCTCTCTCTCTCTCTCTCTCTCTCTCTCTCTCTTCCTTCTTTATTTCTATTGACCGCCTATGACTTAATGAACCTTGCCTTTTGTTTTTAACAAACAACATTTCAGCTAAACTATCTTATCCTTTGATTCAGATCGTAGGAAGTCTCTCTCTCTCTCTCTCTCTCTCTCTCTCTCTCTCTCTCTCTCTCTCTCTCTCTCTCTCTCTCTTCCTTCTTTATTTCTATTGACCGCCTATGACTTAATGAACCTTGCCTTTTGTTTTTAACAAACAACATTTCAGCTAAACTATCTTATCCTTTGATTCAGATCGTAGGAAGTGGAACCGTAAAGGCTGTACCAGTACTCTGTTGATGTTTATGTTATGGATAGTATGAAAGTGTAGAAGTAATGGTTAAGGCTCTGATTCATATTTTTTTAGAAATAGAATGTATTGTCACACTGTTGATGGCAAGCGTTTCAAGACTTCTTTAATGGAATGGGTATGGTGGCTAGTGGATGATATGTTGTTCACCAGTAGGCTGTAATCAACTAGTCAATGATGTATGGACCTCGAAATGTACAAGTAAATTATTTTACAACCAGTAACATTTTCTAAGAAAGTAGTTGGATACTTTTTTGCTTCGGGTAAAAAATTACAAAGAACAACATTAACAATCTTGTAGAAGAGAATTGTTTAAAAAAATCATTTTTTAAGTCTATAGGTGTTCGGTGTTCCATAGTAGGAAAGTAAGCACTCTTGAGTGGTATTGCACTGTCCTGAATTGATGTTTAGACAATCAAACTATGATTGTTTTGAAGTGGGGATAGTAAGGCGATTTTGTGCATAAAAGTGAGAAGAAGTATAATGAATTAGTTTTAGGTAGGTTTGTTGTTGGATCTGACCATTCCTGTAAGAACTTTTTTTGTTTTGTTTTTATTTTTATTTTTCTTTTATTTTTCTTTTATTCTTTTTTTTATTTACTAAATATTACACATGTGATGATGACAAGCGGGTAACAAGCTGCGCCGCTAATCCTTTCTGAATTACAAAACCCAACCTACGAAACACGTACTCAGCGGACCATGATGTCATTACATTCTTATTCATGAATTTTTATACCCTCCTGAGGAACTCCACCGCATCAGCTACAAGTAAACCAAACGTATCGAAAGTGAATGGGATGAAGTTGTGGTGGTTGTCCTTGCAAGCTTGATCATGTTTGCCCACCTTTGCCTTTGTTGCTCTATCCACTGCATGCCTAACCTTGAACTCTCCATTATCAAACCCTACCAACGGAGACACCCCTGTGAGATCAACACAAACGTTCTTCCCCCCGCTCCAACTGTAGACAAGAACGTCCGTCGGTCTTAGAGTAGATCTAGCTCTCCAGGAGGAGTGAGGAAGTTGACCGACGCTTCCTTCTTTGATGGGATCCGTGCTCTTTGGAAGATATCATACAAGACATCTCTGACTAAGCTGTGTCTGTACTTGAACCCCGGCTGCTTATGACAGTGGATGACATGCTCTCCAAAAGCATCCATCTGCGTTTTACGACAAACTGGGCACACTGTCCCCTCCACGAACAAAGGAACCAACAACCTGTAACTGAGGATGGCCTGATACTCCTCGGAGTCATACGCTGTCCCAATCCCTCAATAGGCGTGCCCAACAAGAAATCCTGGGTGTGCTTTGCCCGCAGGCACTCAACAATCACAACTTGCCTCTATGAAAGGCCAAACTCCGTCGATAGATCTCTACAAACGCCACCATAAAAAATATCTGCCAAGTAATACATTGGTTTTGGGGGATAGACCCTTTAGTGGTGATTTAAAGAAGGTCAACCTCAGGTAGTTTGGCTTGAAGAAAGGCCCGGGCAAAAGTAAAATGCTCACCTAAAGAAACCTCACTACAACCTCTCAAAATATGGTATTGGAGCTCGATGGAGTGAATCTGAGAGGCCACAAAAGAAAATTATATGGCATCGGCCGCTGCATAGACCCCCAACCCGCCCGCCTTGATAAGTAAAGAGGCTAGCCTCCATTGGAGGGCCGTCAGATGTGACAATGCTCTCGACTGACCTCTGAAGCGCAATATCAAACTGAGTCGCCACCTGAGCAAAGAGCTGTGGTAGGTAAGTCCTCAAGATGAAATACAACTTGGACAAACCCGCACAAGCCTTCAAAAGGACGAGCTCGCACTGTGGATCCCTAAGTTGGTCCAACGCTTCCATTAATTGAGTCGCCTTTGTCACCCTCTTCGCTACTAACCCACCAACAAACCCCTCATCCATGCTAACTGCTCCACCTAAAAGCTTTACTCCATCACGAGACCGACTGATATCTAAGGAAAAAGCCCCTCCAGCAAACTCTTAGGATCCGGTGAGGGCCAGAATAATTCAGTTTTGGTGACATTGAGGTCCAACCCGAGCCTTGGGCCTTCAGTCTCGATCACCTTATATGCCTTAGCAATCTTCAAAGTATCCCCGACCAAGGACCCATCATCTAAGTACCAAGCATGAAGAGCTAACTTGCACTCTTCCTGCTCTCGAAGAATCAACGGGTGAAGCGTGAGCGCAAACAACAGAGGTCCTAATGGATCCCTTTTTGGATCCTCCGAGCAAACCAAATGAAATCCATCCCAATACAGTCTAGCGGTCTGCACATATAAAAATCCCACCCAAGGAAAGATCGCCAAACACTTAAGGCGCACCTCCCGCAACATACTACTCCTGTCGACCAAGTTAAATGCATTCTGAAAGTCGACTAAAAGCATGGAGAGCGAGTCCTCTGCATGGTGACATCAACAAACCTATTAACCGCATGCAAAACTGTTTCTGACCCTCCTGAGACTCCCACCCCAAACTAAAAATCTCTCAAACAACTCGTCATGTCCTTCCCCACCTTCATTAGCCACTTTAGAGACGAGACGTCTCCAAATGGTACATACCGCAATCGGTCTTATGCCCCCATCACTCTTCAACAACGGAGTGAGGGGAGCACTAGCAATAAACTCCGCCAAGGAGGTCGGACAACGCCCTTGCAACCACAAATTAACCTCTAGAGTGAGAGCCGAGAGAAGATCATTAGCAATAGTGAACTCCAGACCACAAAGTGCATCTAACAAGTGTTAGGCTCGAATGCCATCACGACCACAAGAGGTCCCCTTAGGGAAGGACCGTATGCAATGGAAAACCTCCCCGCAATCCAATAATAGCGGCTCTTGGTCATACCCAAAAGCTGGCAACACCGGAGGATGCACCGAAGGGTGCTTGTCCTCAAGGGACTGACGCATCTGCGAGATGTCCGGTGCAACTCTCGAGGACGTGAGGACCTTCACGACCGTTGAATAGTGCCCGTCCGATATCTTCCTCAAGCACTGTTTAACTTTGTTAGTAGTTGGACGAGCACCGGGGTCGTCAAGTCGGACAGGGGGGGGATAAGGGAGCTCTCTGAACATGGTGTCAAGAAGTTTTTGGGGGCCTCCAACCTCACCCCAGGTGGACAATGCCTTCAAGATATGTCGTTGTTGAAGAGCTTTTCTGTAGCCTGACATCGAACTCTTACGATCATGGGTTTTAATAACCCTTAAAGTGCAACACGGGAAGATCAAAAGTCGTACCCAAGCGTCACAAAATCGCGGGTTGGAGGACACCCCAAAGAGCGAGGTTTTGAGGGCAGTGGAGAACGCCAACCTACAAGATGGGGGAACACTTTTAACCGTTCAAAAACCCCAATTAAACACCCTTTTAACTGTACTATTGTCGAGCTTACAATGTTGTGGACCCAAGGAGGGTATAGGGGACAGACTCGAGGATAGGAGGGACGCAAGGCCGAGTGATACCCACAATGGCACACCCCCCATTGCCCTCGTCGTCCTCTGAAGGTGATGGAACAGACAGTCCTTTGTCATGCTTACAATGTTTACTTAGAGCACGGATCCTCAAGCACGTACCACACATCCATTATCCCATAGCACGTAGGGTGGCCTCAAAAGCGTTGAAAATGCTGATGTCACGGCCTAAAATCCCCTTGCATTCCTCGACCTTAGACTCCGAATTGAGATGATGTTTACGTAAGTGTACAACTAAATACCCAGGGGTGAGCCCTCTACCCTCAGAACCCCCTGCCGTGCATCCGTCAAGTCCTTTGAGAGGGCAGCGGAAAAACAACTTCTGTGTCGCCTGAGGAAAAGACAGGATCAACCCCCGAACTGTGGCCCTCCTGAAATGTGGCCCTGCTCCTGAACTGTAGCCATGGATATAAAAATTTTATTTTTATATTTAATAATGACTTCAGGTTCTTTATTATCAAACCCAACTTGCAGATCTGAATCAGATCTGAAAGCAAGCCTGGCGCGAGAGGGCGGTGGCGGGCGAGATGGGCGATGCGCTGGTGGGCGATGGCATCGGTGGGCGATGTGCGGGAGACGAAGAAGATGATGATGGTAGTCGACGAGACCAAAGGGCGGTGACGACGTGAGATCTGGATCGCGGCCTGAGATCTAGATCTGGATCTATTTTTTAGGATTTGCCTATTTTATTTTTATGTTTTATTTTCTGATGTTTATGGGCATTCTTGACCTATTGTTTTTGTTTATGTTTTTTTTTGGGAGGAGGGATATGTGCTACCTTTTCGTACTGGAAGTTTGGCTGGGGACGAGACTTATAAGAAAAGCTACCCATGAGAATGCAAATGTGTCTTATTATGCTTACTCGAGTGAGGTTTTGTGGAGATTTAGTGTATGCAACTGAAATGAAACATAAGAGTCTAGGTTCTCTTCTCTTGATGTTATTTGCTACTCTGACTGGATGGCTTTGCCATGCAGCTGGATGTAGGATGGACCATGGGAACATTTGACTTTGTTTGAAGTCCAAATTAATAGTTTGGAGTCTTTGGACAGGTCACAGCCCACCGACATAATATTTATTATAGTTGATATTGTTATTAATTAATGTCTTCTTTCCTAAGAAGCATCTACACATACGCGATGCCAACACGGGACAGGGATAAGA